TCTTTTTCTATTCGTTTCTCTGTCTCTCTCTGTCTTTCCCTTTCTTTCCTCTTTTTTTTTTCTTTTTCTCATTTCGAACATGATATTCATCCTTAAAAGGTTTAACTAATTAATCGAAGGGAAGAGTGAGGGAAAAAGGGGAAAAGGAAAAGTGGGAGAAACGGGGGAAATGAAGGGGAAAAGGGGGAGAAACGTTTTTAAATTTATTAAAGTTTCAATTTTCAGTAAAAATAAAATAAAATTTAAATTATTTTAATTATTTTTACATGGATATTTAAAAAGCAAAAAAAAAAAGAGGGGGGAAGGAAAGTTCAAGTAGGAACAAAAGTTGACTTTTTATTAAAATAATAATAATAATAATAATAATAATAATAATAATAATAATAACGGCTTACAATTTATGAGTTTTTTTATCAGAGAACCTTATCAAACTTTTTAAAAGGAATCGAAGTCCATTTAAATTTTCTAAAAATAATAATAATAATAAAAAGGTTTTATTATATTAAAAAAATTTATTAGTTTATTTTTTGTCATGACATATTGTTTGTTTGTTTGTTCGATTATAAATTTAAAAAAAAATAAATAAACAAACGGCAAAATATAATCTATAGCGGTCGCGTCCCTTGTTAAAATCTCTTTTTGTTTTTAAATATTAAGTAAAAAAAAAAAAAAAAAAAAGGAGAAGAAAAGTTTTCTAAACAAATCTCTGTAATGTTCGTTTTGTGCAATAAACAAACTTTAAAGAGTCCGTTCATGAAGTCAAAAACAAAAAAAGTCCATCAATCATCATGGGAAAAAGTTTTTTTTTAAATTTCAAGTATGGGTGTTTACCCGAAAATGTTCTAAAACCTTTTTTTTTTTTTGTTTCAACCCTTTAAGGTGGTGTGACCTTTGTATGTGTATGGGAAACTTGAAGAAACCAAATACTTGAAAATCTCTATTAATCATTTTGTATATATCTCGTGAGAGCTGCTAACTGACATTGTCAAGCTTTTTTTTCTATTTCTTTCCTTTCACTTTTCAATTCTTCTTCTTCTTTTTTTTTCATCTCATTCGTTTTTTTTCTCCCCAAAAAAAAAAAAAAATAATAATAAACCATGTTATTTGGCATCGAATTGAAAAATACGTTTTTTTCCTTTCCTTTTCTTTCCTTTCCCCAAGAGTATAATTACAAACTTCAAATAATAATAATAATAATAATGATAAAAGAAAAAAAAACGTGCGAAAAGTTTTCCTCGAGTGATAAAATTAAAAATCCGTTGATTCCATTTAAATAAACAAACAAAATTTTAATTATTTTTAATTTTATTTATAACAATTAACTTTTGCGACTTTCGGTGAACGGGGGGGGGGGGGAAAATTCACCTTCCAAATTCAAAATGACGAACGAATTAAATTTTGCAACATATGATAAAATCGGTGAAAAATAATTTCGATTTTGAAATATTAATCAAATGTAATAGAATAGAAAAATTGAAAGAAATAAAGAAACGAGGAAGGAAAAATGAAAAAGAAAATGTGAAAGGAAGGAAGGAAGGAAAAGAGAGAGAGAGAGAAAAAACCCCCAACAATTTCTAATAATTGGATTTGTGGGGAAAAAGGAAAAAAAAAGTGAAGGTAGATTGACGCTCTTGGCATTTTTGTCAAATCGGCAAATTTTAAAATTAAATTATTCATCGAAAACTGACAAGAGAGAAAGAGGGGGAAAAAAGAGAGAGAGAAAGGGGAATAAGAGTGACAAAGACAGAGAGAGAGAGAAAGTGAAAATGAAAAAAAATATCGAATGAGAGAAATGATGGTTGTTATTATTATTATTATTTCGGAAAATGATGAGTGAATATATATATATATATATATATATATATATGGTCGTACCGTTAGAGGAAAATTTTCGAGATAATAAAATTAATTTTAAACATTTAATGATGTTTATCTATTGACACTTTTCACCGAAAAAATTTTTTTTTAACAAATTCGCACTCGACCGACACTGATATAATTTTATTAAATCGTGTATCACTTTTTGTTTGTTCGTTTGTTTGTTTGTTTGTTACGCGTTGCAACTTTCCGGATAAAAATATTATTTTGAAATTTTTTTTTTTATATAAAATTTTATCAACGATTAATTTAATTAAAAATAAATAAATGATTAAAAAAAAAAATCACGTGAGCATAAATAATTTTATTGATTTTTTTTTTTTTTCAATTCCAAAATAATTATCCAGCAACACATTTTTATTTTTAATAACGGATTGTTTTTGCTTTTTCCTCCTCCCCTTCCCTTCCCCCTTTTTTCGTTTATCATCATTATTATCATTATTATTTTTTGTTTCTGCTGTTTTTTTTTTTTTTACTGCTTGTAAAGAATTTGGGAAATTTTTATTTATTTTATTTTCTTTTTTTTGTTTTTGGGAAAGGGAGAAGGGGGAAAGGGAGAGAAAGAGGAGGAGAAGGAGGAGGAGAAAATTCTTTCGTCGAAATGAAAATAATAAATTTTATTTTTATTTTTTTTTTTTTGGGAAGGAGGGAGCATGGGAATCGAAGGGATGATAAAAAAAGAGAGAGAGATAGGGGATGATGAGACGAGAGGGGAAGGAAGAGAAGGAGGAGGAAGGAGGGGGGAAGAAAAGGTTAAAATGATAAATTAATCCGCTTTTAATTAATTTCATAAATCGAACCGCCAACTTTTTATATGGACCCAATAAGAAAAATGAGCCTCGATTGAGAGAAATTTTTTTTCCTTTTTTTTTTTTTAAACAAACTAAAAATTTAAAAAATTTTTTAATTACTTTAAATAATAATTTTAGTTAATTAAAAAGAAAAATTTTAAATTATATATAATAAAAGCTCAGAGTTTTTTTTTATCGAGCAAAAAAAAAAAATTTATTAAATTTTTTTTTTTTAAACTTCGTTCTCCCTCCTCTCCTCCTCCTCCTCCTTTCTCTCTGGCCCCCCCCTTCGAACTATTTTCCATAACGGTTAGTCATTGATTTTATAATAACTTCACCGATAACAATAATAATAATAATAACAATGTCAGATTCCCGATGAAAATATTATCATTATTTTCCTTTTTTTTAAATGACGATGAATATTTACACGTAACGACGATTATTTATTTCCGGTTTTGTGCGTGTGCGTTTCCTCCTCTTTCCTTCCTTCCTTCTTAGCACGTATTTAACAATAGTGTGTGTGTGTGTGTGTAAACCTTTTAATTAAAATCATCTTTACAAATGTAACAACGCGAGTTTATCTGTATATATATTGACTCAAAGCTTTTTACTAAACTTTTTCATTTTAACAACATCAAAGTAATTTCTTCTTCTTTTTTTTGCGCGCGTGTTCAAATATTGAAATAAAATTAAAAAGACAATTTAATTAAAAAATATTTAATCTTTGAATTTTATTATAATTATTATTATTATTATTATTATTATTATTATTATTATTATTATTATTATTATTATTATTATTATTATTATTATTATTACGCCCATTGTTTTTATACTTTTACGTAAAAAACAATTTTTGTCTGTACACGCCACGAGTAAAAAAAAAAAAAAACTTTTGAATTATTCACTCTTTTAATCTCTTTATGAATGAAAATAATAATAATAATAATAATAATATTGATAATATATATAATAAAATTAAAAGTTAAAAATAAAATTATTATTATTATCGAAAAATAAGTAGAAAAGGAAACAAACACGCATTAAAAGCTTTACGAGTGGAGTTTTTTACGTATTTTTTTTTAAATGGAAAAACATCGTCTGTAAAAGGAATAAAATAAAATAAAATAAAAATATTTTTTTAAATCCGTAAAGCAGAACAACAACAACAACAAAAACAACATAAGCAACAACGACAACAACAGCAACAGTATTAAAAAAAGAAAAAAGTAAATTTTTTTTTCTTATGCATTTCAATGAATCGTACGATTTTTTTTTTTTATTACTTGCAACAAAAAATCAAAATTTATTTAAAGTCGTATCAAAACGATAAAAGGAAAAAAGGAAATCACCAAAGGAAAAAATAAATAAATAAATAAAATACTTTTTACGTCGTTCGATATTCCAAGTTAATGAATTTGATTTTTATAATAATAATAACAAAATCGATGATTATTCAACCTTTCCGGTAAATATATTTTTTTAAAAATCGAATTTCATTTATTATTATTATCATCATCATTATTATTATTTATTTATTTCACTTTAACGGTTATTTTCTTTTTCGAATAATTATTATTATGGTAAATTAATCATTTGTGGCAAAAGGTTCGTCGACGTTAGAAACCTTCAACAACCTTTATTTACATAATTTTATTTAATTAAGCAAACGAAACCTTATCATATATATATATATATATATATATATATATATATATATATATATATATATATATATATATATATATATATAT